AATCTATGGCCGGCACGGAAATTGTTGACAACTTAATAACATTTTTCTCTCATCACGGTATTCCATCTAAGATAATTGTTGACAATGGTACCGAATTCAAGAACACAGTAGTAACAGAACTTTTACAACTTCATAAAATTAATATACACTTTTGCTCGCCGAACCATCCACAATCTAATGGTCTTATAGAGCGATTACACTCAACCTTATCAGAACACATTCGATTATTAAACAACCAAAATTTTAATAAAACACCGATACATCAAAGAATGAAATATGCTATTTTGGCTTACAATAATTCAATTCATTCTGTTACTAAGTTAAAACCTGTTGACGTTATTAGTGGTCATATCTCTTCAAATGATCCATTTAACTTGGACATTGATCAGCTGTTATTAACTAATTACGTTTCGGAACATAAAGAAAAAGCCAAACTTCTTTATTCAAAAATTAACGAATATCTAATAGCAAATAAAACTAAAATAATCGGTAAAATTAATGAATCGCGTGATGACCCTGATATATTAGAACCAAATCAAAAGGTTTATATTAAAAAGCACGTACGTCAAAAATTAGCCAATAAGTTCTCTAACCCTACCAAAATTGTAAGTACCAACCCTGCAAGAAAAATAGTATCTACTGAAAGTCAAGAAAAGGTACACATGGGTAATGTTAAACGCCCACTTAAATACAGATATAGCTTTGATTAGTAAAATTCTTAACCTAGGCTAATGTGACCATTACAAAATAGTTGTATTATGTTTCAGAGTAATCACCTCTGCATACGAAGTTCAGCAGAAAATAAATGTGACTAAAGTCAACGATAATGTCGGACTACTACCAATCAAATTAGGGAATGCAAAAGTTAAACAGTATACTTTTACTCTCATACATTTTAATGACTTACACCCAATAATACAAGAAACAAATAAACTTTATATAAATACAATTTCTATTGTCGAGTTAGTAAACAAACATAGAGAGTATAAGAAAGATTCTGTGCATTATGTAAAAGCATTACAATTTTTGCAAAAGAGAGTCGAAAACAAAATATCAGAAATTATTCCACATTCAAACAGAACAAAAAGAGAGCTAGTGAATGTTGTAGGCTCAGTTTTTAAAGCAGTAACTGGAAATTTAGACGCTTCAGATGGCGAACGTTATGAAAAACTAATTCAAAATTTACAGAAAAACCAAAACAGTTTAGAGGAAAATATTCGAAAGCAAAATTATCTATCTATAGGTGTAATTGATAAATTTAATTTAACGATACAACAAATAACTCAAATGAAAAAGATTTTGCAAGGCAAAATAGATCAAATTGCTTTGATAATAAACTCAACAACTTATTCTCAGAATTCTCACTTTATAAAAGATACATTAAATCAATTAATCATTATGTATGAAACCATCTATTCTATTTTACAAGATATCGAAAATTCATTAACTTTTTCCAAATTAAAAATAATGCATCCAAGTATAATAAAAACAGATGATCTCTTTATTGACTTAAAAAACATACAGGCTCAAGTAGGTGAAAATCTTATGCCTTTGCCTGTTAAGATCGATAATATATTGTATTATGAAAATATTATTGAATTAGAATGTTTTATTTTAAATAATAAAATAACATATTTACTTCATTTTCCTATAACATTTAAGATGAGTTTCACTTATTTTTATTTATTTTCTATACCTATATATTATAAGAGTCTCTTCAAGGCAATTTTACCTGTTAATAAATACTTGATAAAAGGTCAATTGCACTATGCATTCGAAAATGAACTTTGCAAAGAAGCAATGGATAGTTATTACATCTGCGACACCCCTCTTAAAGAAGTCAGCTACAACAGTCCATGTTCAGTTCAATTATTGCAATCAAAACCAAACAATAAAAACTGTAAGCAAGTCGAACTAAAAATAACACAGCCTATTGTCAATCAACTAGACAATACAAACCAATGGCTCGTTGTAATCCCTTATGAAGTTCAAGCACACTTGAAATGTTTCAAACAAGAAGAGAGAGCTAAATTTCAAGGTACATATATCTTTGAAATACCACCTGGTTGTGAGACCTTAGTGAACGAATTATTAATAATCAATGAAAGGAAAATAATCAATACTACCAATCAATTGATTTTATTCGACGACTATGTTACTGAAGATGATAAGATCCTACCGACTCTACATTTAACAAGCCAAATATCTGAAATAAGACTCGACATCTCCACACATTGAAAAATCAACTAATTGAAAATCAACCACACCTGGTATTTGACGAAGTCAGGAAATATCCAAGCCTGTGGACACTACTTTTGTACCTGGTAATTTTCATCCTTTGCATCTACCTGATGTATAAGAAGTTCCCCAGATGTCGACGTGACGTTCAACCACCACCTTCAAGAAATATCCAGCTACCCCCTCAATCGGTATAGCTGTCTCTGAGAAGGGAGGAGTTATATTGTGTGTGTGTGTGTATAAGTGCTGAATAGACAACAATAGACTAGCATTTTTCCAAGTACAGATTCTATTTTTACACTCTGTCGCACGAGCTCTTCAAGCTAGTTAGTTTTTAAAACAGATGTCAATTTTTTAGTTTTTTATATAATTAAATAAAACTTAAATGTAATTCATTCAAAAATAAAAGTAGTTTTTAAAGAAAAGGTGACTTTGACATTCAATAAGTTAATTCAGGCAATTGAAATTTTAGTTTACTTATTTTGCCTTGAAATATGTAAACGTCATTAATATTTGTTTTTTTTAATGTATATTAAATAAACCTTAATGTTATCTATTAAATAATGCAAAAACAACAACAACGTTTTGTAACAATATTTTCTGACATAAAAAATTATTTAAGGTACAATAATTATTTATTAATTTTCGGTTATCATGGAAATGTATAACGAAATAGTCATTTGCCGATTAAAGTTTCGTTTGATTAAGCTAATTTTGCTAGCATTTCAAATTAAAATATATAAATGTTGTGACATTCTTAAAAATTACTGGAGAAATATGTTGAAGAGTATGCTTAATATAATATATATACCAGGTACACATAAAATTTGATGTAAGTGTGTTAGTGGCGTTTATAAAGGTTGTGTTGTAAAGTTTTTAGTTCGTTACATGTCTTTTTTATTTATAATATATGATGTCTGGCCTATCATCACCGGATTCCCTCTCGTTCAGGCCGGATAGTTTATTTGACGCGTAATTTTTACGTTCCCTAGTCGCCAACCCTGTTATCGTTTGACACAACCCTGTTATCGCTCTGAGGAGGCGCTGTCAACTCTCTCCATGCTCTCTCCGTGCTTAACCTCACTTTGTTTTGACGCTCTGTTGTATCCCAGCTTTTGGAAATGGTGATTATTTAAGTCTTGCTGTATAATTTGAATCAGCTGCTATTTCGAGGGTCCAAGGTACGGACTGTGTCCAGGGTACGGACTGTGTCCAAGGTACGGGTAGTGTCTTATGTACGGACATTATCTTCAGCGTTGTTACAATGGCAAACATTTTTGTACTATAAGTGGTGTCGAAATTGTACTTTTTTAAGTGGGATTGTACATTTTTGGTGGAAAAAATTGTGAAGTGGCGACATCTCGTATTAAAAATTTGAAACTTTAATAGAGGTAACAAAAACAAATGGGTAACAACAAAGTCAGAGTTATGGTTTGGATATTGATTTATTTTGTTTTTATAATTATTAAGTTTATTTTTTAAACTTTACCTATAGATTGATGCAGATTAGTAATAATTTAACAAACGAACAATTTTTTTAAATACATTTTATTTAGTAAGTCGTGAAATAATACAAAAAACAAAAAATAACTAGCGTTAAAAACGTATGACAAAAGTTATAACCAAAGTAAAAAACCCAGTCTGATTCAACATCACAAATAATAAAAACAGTACATATTTACTAAAAGTAATAGCTTATTAACATGAAATAACCTTAATAATAATGATATTTATTATTAAGGTAAATATAATATAATATTTGTAACAAAGATACAAATATAAAAAAACATTAAAAGCTAAAAAACAACGGTTATAACTAAATTAGTAAAAGAAAACAAACAGTCTTGCATTATAATATCACAAAAACAAATAACTAAAATACCAAAAAAAATAGAACTTTTTTTATAATAAAGCTGAAAAACAGTTACCTAAATAAGTATAACTAAATATGTGAAAAAAAACGCCGTCCTTGCATTATAAAACATCACAAAAAAGTAGGAACTATATAAAAAATAAATCTTGTAGGTATACAATTATTTCTATTCTACTATCACATTTTCTACAAATTGACTAGTATACGTTAGAAGTTTAGAATTAGGCTTCCAATTTATTGCCCCATTTTCATAGTTTTTCATCGTATCTTTAATATGGAGCAATGCAGCACACGTTGGTATTAATAACCTATTTCTGGTAGATGTTTTCATTAAAGATAATTGAGAAAACACTCTTTCAGCAGTGGCTGATGAGTGTGGAAGTGACAATATTATTTTAACAATTATCATTAAATTTGCAAACATTAAGTGCCCTAGAGAATTTTTCTGTTCTGAGACAGATCTCCAGAATACATTAATGTCATCATTTTCTAAATTACTAATGTTTATCTCACTAAGAAGCTGCCGTTCGGCATTGGCTGCCTCTATATCTATCTCAATTTGTGGAAAAAAAATAATAAAATTGGCAATAGATATTACTTTGCCAGATAGAGCTATATTTGGCGTAAAATTCGACGCATATATTAATATTGAGTCGTCGAATTTAAAGCGATTTTTGATTTGTTTGCAGAGTTCCAAATAAAAATCTAAAACTCTTAACCGAAAATTATGAAGCCCTTCATTACTTACAGTTAGATGCTCTGAATTGATCAAAGCATCCACCTTAGCCCCTGCAAATAAATCATCCACAGAAGCATAATTTGCCGGATCATTTAGATTTATATTTTGAATTAATGTATTATCAATAACATTTTTTTTTATAAAACACTTTTATAAGGTTTTATACAGTGCAGAAATTCTATTTAACAAAATTGGTAATTTTGGACTTTCTGACTGGAATTCAATATTTACCTTATTTGTAAGGTCTAAAACGTACCCTAAAAATAAAAGATATAGTTTAAATTCTTGGTTAATTAGAGCATTTAAAATACTTTTAGCACTGGGCAGATTATCTTCCAAGACTGCTCTTTGGAAGAATAGTGTCAATGAATTCCAATGCTCTAATATTCGATCAACAACACTCTGAAATAAACAACAACAAAAACAGTTATTTAGATTGATTAAAATTTATAAATTTAAATAAAATTTTGTAAAAATTAAATAGCATTGTTTTAAATAATAATTTTAAAATGACCTTATTTTAAAAGTGCAGAAAACAATTATAGAAAACTACCTTCAAAGATAACCATCGAGTTTGGCTGGGATACAGCATCTTATGTGGCTTTTCATTAGCAAATATCTGGCACTCCTTAAGCTCAGATAGTCGCTTATTACTATGAGCAAAATAAGCGTATATATCCCTAGTGAATCGTTCCACATTGTTGGGGAGTTTTTTTGCAGCAGCCGAAGAACAGAGATGAAGGGAATGACAAGTACATCCTTGCACATAAATATGTGGTAAAATTTCTTTCAATCTTGCTTGGACACCTTTTACAGTTCCCATCATAGTGCTCGCATTGTCGGACCCAAAGCCAATAATATTTTCGAAAGGTATATTATTCACACTTAAAATATTTTTAATTATATTGAAAAGTGCCTCACTTGTTGCATCTTCAACTGCTACTAGATCAAAAAACTGATCTTGGACTCTCCCTTCCTTCCAATATCTAACCACAATAACCAAAGATTTTTTTGAACTCACATCAGTGGTCTCATCAATTATTATGGAAAATTTCTCTAATTTTAAATCCATTACTACTTCTGCTTTAAAAGCTGGCCCCAATATTCCAGTGATAAGTTTAGTTGCCTTTAATCTTTTTATTTTAAGATTTTTGGCAATATTAGAATCTGGATACAGCTCTTTATTTAATAATGGAAGTGTATCCATTAGTAGCATTGGTAATTTTTTGTCTGCTATATAGCAACATAGTTTCAATTCAGCTGCTTTAAATAAATAAATAAATAAATGCCTTTATTGTCAAAAAATTTTTCAATTTGTGGACAAAGGTAAACTAACAAACAAAGTAAAAAAAAACAAGGTACACAAACAAACAAACAAAAGATAATACAAAACATTATACAAATAATATTGTCAGTCTTATTGTTAAAATAAACATATATAAATGTTTACAATGTCAAAGAACAAAAAAAATTAAAATAATATTCAAAAATATTTAGCCAGTTTATAGCAAAATATCAATGACCTCTAAATAAATTAATTTCGATGTCATTAGTAAATATAGCAATAGCAAACATTAGAGCAGTGTTTTCAAGATCAAATTCGATTTTCAATTCAAATATAATTCATTTACGGCGTAGAAAGCCTTGTCTAGTAAATAAGAGTTCAATGCTTTGCGAAATGAAAAAAATGATGTTATGGATTTGATTTCAAATGGCAGGTGATTGTGCATTTTTTTCGAGTTGTATAATATTGAACTTTTAACTAACTCTGAGCGTGGGGTAGGTAGATAAAGATCTTGCTCCGCGTTCCTGAGTGGATAAGTGTGAGATGGCCTTTCTTGAGAAGCTGATACATGTTTACGTATTAGGCAAACGGATTCAAATATAAATAAGGAAGGAAGAGTCAATATTTTTAATTCTCTAAAAAAGCCCCGGCAATGAGTTCTGCTGTTTAGTCCCAGTGAATATCGAACAGCTCTCTTCTGGAGCTTGAAAATGCGGTCAAATTGAGCCGCACAACACGTACCCCAGAATGGAAGGGCATACCTGAGGTGCGACTCAAAAAGTGCATAATAAACAGTTCTAGCCACTGACAAGTTAAGCTCCTTAGAAACAGACCTTAATGCAAAACAGGCAGAGCTCAATTTTTTCGACAAAGCTTCGATATGTATGTCCCATTTCAGAGAATTGTCCACAACAAGCCCTAAGAATTTTACGGATTTTACGACGTCAATGGTGGTGTTGTCAAGTACAAAAGGCTGCAACGAGTTTTTATACGACAAAGCCTTAGTTTTAGAAATGTTGAGACTCAGGAGGTTCGAATCGCACCAAGATTTAATGGTGATTAAGTCATTTGATATAATCCTATGAAGTGCTGCGATGTCCTTGTTGCTCCAAGTGAAGCTAGTGTCGTCCGCAAAAAGACATATTGACATTCACATCATCATACTTCTTTTGTTGCATTGTTTCTTTAAACATACCTTTGATGCTAGGCATCTTTTTTGCAGCGCCATAGTTCTTTATATGAGTAGCTTGTTTGTCATGTCGGCTTAAATGAAATTTGTTGTCAGTTAATTTCACATTGCAACATTTACAAAATAAATATTCTTTAGTTGCATCAAGCCATAAAAATATTTCTGATAATTTTTTAATGTTAGGAGTAGATGACGAACGTTTAAGTTTTTTTTGTGCTGTTGATTCAGATTCAGAGACAATATCATTTTGCCTGTCATCACAGATTTCACTTAGTCTTTCTTCTATTTCCATAGGCAATTCACTTGAACTACATGCTGATGTTGAAGGACTTGGTATTGGAGAAGGAATTTGTGATGATGAAGGACCTGGTGTTGGAGAAGTACTTTTTCTCCTTCGAATTACAAATCTAGATAAAAATATAATATTGTAACCTAATGGATGCAAATTATTATAAAATAATAATGTACCTGTCCATTGTTATATCAAAACGGATTGATTCAGTAACAAATAAAATAAATAACACACTAACACTACCAAATAAATAACTAACAAAACAAATAAACACTAACAAAGAACAAATAAATAATAAAGTCAAAAATATACTGGTATAATACTACTAAATATTTAAATTTCAAACGTGATTTCAAATCAAACAAAACATAAACAAAAAATAAAATGTCAACTCTCAACTTAAAATGTTACGTCACTCACGTCAGTTGTCAACCGAAACGTTCCAAGCGAATTCGAAACTAGAAACCATAGAGAAATATAAGTTACTTTATGCTAGAAACTAATAGCTGCATACAACGTCACGTTGGCAGGTTTTGAAATGCAGGTCGCTAGGAGTATGATCTGAATTAAACCCTCTGCTCCAAGCAACCTGCATTTCAAATCTACGCATCGGGTACCACCGTTCGTCTAAAAATATGTACGTGGGTTTAAGTTTGGGTTTGAGATGTAAGAATTGTATATTTTTTCTTGCAATTGTACCTATGTACTCCTTGACTATCAAATGTACCCAAAATAGTACAATTGTACCTATTGTAACAACACTGATTATCTTATGTACGGATGTCCTGTGGACGAGTGTCCCCAGTAAGAACGATTTTTCTTACATATAAGTGCCACAGCGTGGATGTAGCTTGAGTCCCATGCTGCTTCGTTCCCAGCTGTAAGCTAGTTGGTTACGGCTGTACCAATTCGTGGTGCCCTCATTCTGGCCCCTTTGGTTGTGTTGGATGGCTGAGTACAGAGATGCGAGACCACCTCAAGCTGTTACTGTTTAAAGCAAGATTACATAAAGAACAGCTAAGTGTAGATTTAAGTTATAGTTTTACATTTAACATTTAAAACATTTACAGTCTTAAACAATAACGTACATCTTAAATAATTTAATTATTATAAAGTTTAGTGGTTAGTTGTTAAGAACATTCATGTCGATTTAATATTTAATATAAAAATTAATATTAAATATAATTTAGATTTTAGGTTTCATTGCATTACATCTTGTAATGGTATTACTTTTATAGATATTATTATCGCACTATTTTAACAGGAATAACCAAACATAGATTCTAGAATCTACAGGTTGCAACATCTTTGATTTAGCATCATATGGAATATATCAAATTAATTAAAGTAATGCTACATTTCATATATTCTCTTAAACTTTACATATCTTGTATTTTATCGTAGTTGTTTTCATTGATATTTAGTACGACTCTTACCACCACTTTCTTTGACATATAACCACTATATATTTATTAGAACTCTACAATGTCATGTACCATCTAAGAACATCTAAGAACATCATGAATAAATATAGTCATTAGTTTTAAGTAATATACAACTGTGTTTTCTTTCTCTGTACATGCCTGGCGCCCAATATTTATAATTTCGAGTTATTATTGTTAATTAGTTTCTTTCCAGTGAAATACCTTATCCACGACTGCTCTACCAACGAAAAGCTGCCGTTCGCAGTGATAATGTTTTAAAAAAACGCTACAGTGTTTTGTTGCATATGTATAGAAGCACCATCTTTCATAAAGGCGGACTCTCACGACTCGTCTACTTGGTAAGTACGCCAATATTTGCGTACTTGGCAAGTATCCCCACTTTGTAAACAAAATTGGCAAGTGTGGCGCTCACACGACGCCGACGCACAGTGTTGCGAAAATGGTCATTTTGGGACAAAAATCCTAGAGCTTTCAAATCAGTCTTTTTAATTCATTTTGGCACTAAATATAAATAAACAAACATTTTTTATAATATCGCAATGAATAAATTTTAAATGAAACTTAAGAATTACAAAAATAATAATAACATAAATAAGACAAAAATAATAATAACATTTTTAAGAATACCTCAACCGACACAATGTAGTAGCCAAAATCATCCACCAACAACTGGGGCTGAAACACAAAATAGTCCAAAATAAAGAGGCATATTATAAATACCAGCCTAAAGCAATAATCCGAAATGATTCTTACGGATTCTTACGGATTACGGATCAACTAGTACTCAATAATAGGCCTGATATCATGCTGTTGAAAAAGGAAAATAAAGAACTTACCATTATAGACGTGTCAATTCCTGTAGATGATAACATAGGCAGGGCGTACAAAGAAAAGATGGATAAATATGAGGCTCTAAGCGTTGAGTTGAAGAGAGTTTGGAATCTAAAAACCGTAAAAATTTTGCCAATAATTATTACTGCGAACGGTTTAATACATAAAAACTTACCTGATATTCTGAGGCGTTTGGGATTACGGAGATCTGTCCTGGTTCTATTGCAAAAAGCTGCAATTCTGGGCACTACAGCAATTGTGAGACGGTTTCTATCCAGGTGATGTGGAAATGTGATAGCCTTGGTTAAATTCCGGCTAGCGCATATGAAAACCTGTGAAAAAAAAACTAATATAAAACCAAAAAAATATATGGTGATTCAAAATTAAGTACACAGATTTTAAGGGTGTATTTAGGAGAATATTAAGAAAAATATTTTATACAATCGTTTGTCCTAACTTGCTTCGTTTTCTAGATACAGGGTGTCTTGCATTATCTTAAAGAAAGGAAAAAACTCAAAAAGTGCATGTTAGTAGCAGCAACGGATCACTGTTCTTTTCGACTTTTTCGATCACTTTCATTCACTCTGTTCGATACGTTTTTTGCGTTTTTTTAAAGCTTACTTAAAGTTTGATACTTTTACTTTATACTTTCTGAGCTACGATAGGTTGTAAAAATAAATATATATTATTAATAAATTTTTTGCAAATTTAAGGTGATGAACTCATACGATTCCTGTTATCTATTTTTAATACACTTACCTTCACTAACAGCAAACATAGTAAAATATAACTTATATAAATGCTATTAAAGAAACAATCGGCTACTAAAGTGACAGCGAAAAACGCTCAACACTTAATGCTTTATCGACTAATTTTTTTATAGAAATATAAACAAATTTTTGTGACCTGGAGGCATTCCTGTTCATTTTTTGCTTTGTTTTAATAAGTACGGATATTTTACTGCTAAAATAACACATTTTTTAAATTCGGATTTAAATTTGGATTTTCGTATTTTTGTCCATGGGCCGCAACACTGTGGCGACGCGCGACGTTTCCATTTCAACAAATACGCCAGCACAAACATTGTTTAAATCCTTGGCAAGTAAACAGTATAGAATGAATCCATGGATACCGGTCGTGACGAATGACGTGCTAGTGATTCTTTTTTCTTTTTAACTGTCACTGCAATACGATTTCTATGTTGTTTATGTTTGGCCATCCATATGAAGGGCTCATTTTCGTATAAATCCATAAATTCCAAAACAACATCATTTAAAAACTATACGGGAAAAACCAGCTTTGTCCATTTTATTTGGATCCGAGAAAAATGCAATTTAGTGTTTTTAAAGAAATATGTTATTTTCGGTTGAATAATTAGAAAAACATATATTATACTACCAATTCTGAATTATTAATATTGTTAATTATCGCCATATTCTGAAATACCCAAAGAAAAATGTCAAAATGCAAAACAAAACACGCGAAACATCAAGGATTTTCCAATTAAAGGTTGTATAAAACCTAAATCTAAAATTATATTTTTTTGTTGTAGGAAGAAAATTAATATTTAAGTAGGTTTTTATTAGAATACATAAATTTACTACATGTAATACTAATTGCAAGATGCATGCTTGTTGCCCATGCGTAAGGACATCTCTGGTTTTTGCGATTTACGCGTGGACTACTCTGATTTTTCCCTTGTACGGCAAAATAACCAAGCTGTAATATCTCTGGGACTAAGCGTATTATTGCTTTCTTTTTTCTCGAATGACGTTAACATTTGTCTATAAAAAACATATTAATTATAATAAATATCGCTGAAAAGCTTAAAAAATGGCGCTCTTTATGAAGTCATGGCCAACTATGGTTTCAATTTAAAAAAACAAATGTTTGTGTCATATATCAAAATTGATAGGCTTTAGAAAAAATCGGAGAACAGAAACTCATTAAAGGGATGTGATTATCTACAACTTTTATCTGAAAACTTTTTGTCTAAAATATATTATAATGGAATTAGTGACAATTTTTAAAATAGCTAAAATTTGTATTTTTCCAAATATCTAGTAAGCCATGAACTTTTTCCAAAATCTGAAAGGCGCGTATTTCTGACCCCACAAAAATGCAATTCGTTCCCCATTTAACCGACCGAAGAAGTTTCCGAGATACCCATAGAACATCGTAGGAAACTCACCCTGTATATGTTTTTTTCGGTAGATATTTTTCTATTATATTTTGTTATTAATTTTTCTAGGAGATGAACCTGTCTTTGTAAGGTATCCTCGTCTAGTCCGACTATCATATAAAAAGTTACAGCGCTTTCTGACGGAGCGGACCGTCCGCGACGGACCGTCCGTCGTGTTTTTTCAAGATAGCCGTCGGACGGAGCATACGCGCCCATGTGAAACTGTTTATGTAACAGCGCTTTCTGATGGAGCGGACGATCCGCGCGTATGTTTTTTCAAAATAGCTCATCCATACGTGACCCATGTGAAATTGTTCATATAAACCCATACTACGCGACGGACGGTCCGCTCCATCTGAAAGCGCTATTATACTTTTCTATGAGTCATTTAATTATTTAATGATATATGATAACAAAAAACAATCTGTATCTCTTTGGGTTCTTTCTACAAATCAATAAAGTCAAGTCTACATGCTTAAAAGTCACACTGTTTCACATTAATGCAATTTATAAGTGAATTAGTAAAATATAATTTCTGATGTGTTATTCGCTACATTTTAAAAACTAAATTATTTTATATTAAGCAATTTTAATAAAATACAAAATTATTCTTATATACAAGTAGCCTAAAATTAAAAGACATTACTAACTATACAAAATTCGTAAACTATTATCTTCCCCTATATTTATCATCTAATTAATTTTATTTTTTGTGAAATAAAAATA